TGCAGGGCCATCCTACCCTCCAGCAGATCAGCACTCCCACCTAGTTTGGTGTATCTGCAAACTTACTGAGGGCGTACTCAATCCTCTCATCCAGATTGTTGATAAATATATTAAACAAGACTGGCCCCAGAACAGAGCCCTGGGGAACACCACTCGTGACTGGTCGCCAACTGGCTTTAACTTCATTCACCACAACTCCCTGGGCTTGACCACCCAGCCAGTTTTTTACCCAGCAAAGAGTATGCCCGTCCAAGCCATGAGCAGCCAGCTTCCTTAGGAGAATGCTGTGGGAAGATGGTATATTAGTATCTCACACCATTTCCATGGTTTTGGTGTTGAGCTTAAGCACTGTGTAGTAGAGAATACTTTGTTCTCTTGGCACTGGTCATGTCTGTTGGTACAGAAGTGCTGTTCATTGAAGTGGTTAAGAGAGTCACAAACGCCCACCCTCTTTTTTTAAGCTGCAATAAGTTACCTGATTACTTGGATCATTCTGTGTTTTCACATTACATGGTTTGGTGGGAGATATGTTTCTGGTTTTCACCATATTGATGGCATATCACAACAGGCGTTTCAGTCCATCTTATTTTTGGATAAGCAACTAACATCCTGTTGTGTTTGTTTGAACAGTGGAAATGCAAGGGCTGATCTAGCATTGAGAAACACTGTGTTACACCAGATGAGTTAGCCTTTGTAAGTGCAAATATCTAAGCATGTATGCTAGGTTGAAATTTTGTACTTGGCACAGAAAAATTGAAATTGCTGTTAAGATCATAATGGAACAGGAAAAGGGTATATAGTGAAACCATGGAAATGCTAGGGAACACTTACAATTAATTTTATTATAGCTGAATTATGGGCAAATCCTATTTTCTAGAAAATGAAGTACTGATTAGCAATGTAAACAGTATTATTCAGAGTCAGTGATGTAGCAGAAAAATAGATATAGAATGAGGAATTTTGTTGCTGAAAAGCGTTTTTAACAAGAAAACAGTGCATGTTAGAATAAGCCCCAAAGCGTACACTGAAATACATAGCGTTCCTCTGGCCCTGCCTGGCCAGCGTCACCATCCCAGGGGGATGTGCCCCTTGCTGCTTCCAGGGAATCTGTCTCTAGAAGAGGGGACTCTGATCCGGCTGGAATTAGCCTATTGATGCCCTTGTAATTTCACTACCAGCTGTCACCGCTTACGTGTCCATACAAAGTCACTGGTGTAGTGATGTCATGCTGGGTGGGAAAGTGGTAGTTTCGAGCATTCTGGTGAGAAACGTCTTGCCCTGAAAATGGAGGTGCATCGTGAAGCCAGCAGTGAGGGAAGGGGATGGGCTGGTTGGTGGGTGGCGGTGTGTGCTGGCACAGTGTGTTCCCTCACAAGACCGCTGAGGCCCATGGGGACATCAGGCATCAACGTCATGGCTGTTTCTTTGTCGCTTTGTTTGACTGCTTGTTACATACAGAGCACTAGAGTTTTGCAACAGGAGAAATTTCGTGTGTTTGCTAATTCTGATGAAATTCCAATGAGCTTGCTGATCATCGTGGGAAGTATTTGAAAGCTAATGATATTAACTAGCTTAAAGCAATATAAAAAGGAATGATTATGGTTTTGGTTAATGCAAAGCTGGTTCCTTGTGGCTACCATGGTTCCAGAAATCATTTATAATTCCAGTAACTTCTAGTTCAGCCTTCAAACAACTGTTCAGCTGCTCAAAACTGCTTTACATGCTTCATCTACGCACACAGGTGTGCAAGTTTTTATTCAGCTTATTTTTTTTAGTCATTCAATAGATAGATGACTTCCTGTTTTATCACTAGTATTAATCCCTGGCACCATGTTTGACTGAAGCTTTTTCATCAGGCTGTGTCACCTCTTCTGCCTGGGAGTGGGTGCAGTGCCTACCTGGAGAAATGTTTGACTTACAGATTGCTTCACTGATGTCTTCATGATAGATTATTCAGCTGGATGCACATCTCTGTCTTGAAAGATGAATTCTTCTGCTAGTTGAAAGACCTAGACATTAATAAGACATTAATACATGAGAAACTTTTTATTTTGAAGTAGTACTTTACCTAACAAGAGATTTCAGTGGAAACCAAACCTGAAAATCTGAAGCATAAGCTTTTAGACCACATTCATATTTAGATATATGATGCATTTTTCTGTTTAAAAGGAGCTTTTGTTCATTGATCTGAAGGCTTTTGTTAGTCTCTCTTTGATCTGTCTGCTTTTTTTGTTGCACAGTAAATTACCTATTTGTGGAAAGTGACAAAAGTTACACATGCTGTCACTGGCCAGCTCGGTGCTTTGGTATGTACTACCAAACCATACTGTTGATTTGATTTTACAAAAGGGAAACCTGTAAGAAAATACAGTCTCCTTTTCTCCAATTAATAGTGTCTGCACATGTATTAGCCTATATATGTTCTGTTTGGAAGATTCCAAGTACTGGTGTATTAGCACTGCGTGGCATAAATGATATTTTCCTAGAAACAAATGCCGTAGCTTTGCCTGTCCATGGTAAATAGGCAGTAGTTGGTCAGATTCTTCCCCTGCATACTACCTTACAATTGCATTATCATCCTCAAGCATGTACAAAGCCGATGAAAACTTCTGTGGTGTATTTCATTTTTTTCTTCCTCTTCAGATGGGAGTAGAAGGCACGGATGAAGGTGCTTCCGGAGCCCAGCACTCTCGGAAGTTAGTCAGCTTTACCCTATCAGGTAAAAAACAACACTATTCTGTGTTTCACAAATTATTGTTACCAAAAAAAAAAAAAAAAAAAATTTGCTGTTTTAAATAACTTCAAAAATAGAACACTTTTCTGCATTAGCCTCTGTAGGAGCACACTCTAGTGGCTTGAAGGTTGTCATTTCTTTAGAACTTCTGTTTGTTGAAAACAAGCCAGAATCATAGATCTCCAGGAGTGAAAGAAACGGATTTGATGGATCCCAGCCTGAAAATTTGGAGAGGTTTCCAGTTTGCACAAGGGGTGGTTCCTCTCAGATTGAAGAGTGGAAAACTTAACCTCTAAATAAAATACAAGCTGGTTCCATCACTTCGAGGTAGTAAAAGAGCAATGGTTGCAAATGGTGGTTTAGAAAGGAAAAAATCTTTGCTTGTAACAGAGCTAAACTGTCACTACAGCAAAACAGCCGTAGGGGTACAGCCTACCAGCTTTACTTGTTCTGATTAGCACTTTATTTCACAGGAAGTCTTGTGTGAAACTAAAGCATATTCAGCTTGAGCAAAGACACAAACAATTTGCTTCTGAATCTTGAAGAGACAATGAAAACATGTAGAGATTGTAGGAGTAGAGCAGAAAAACCCCTGCTTTTCGAATGATCTTGCAGCAGTTATCTGGGATAGAACTGATAGCTTGTATAAACTCACATAGGTACTATAAAAATAATTGTTTTGTGAGTTGTGAAAAACCTGTTGTGTTTAATAGGAGGTTGTGAGTCAGCCTGAGTTGTCCCCTAAATTCACTTTGACAGTTGTGTTGACTGATAGGTCTGTAAAGTATTTCCTAGAACATTTTTTGGTTGCTCATTTCCTCATTTTGCATGTTCAAAGTTGCTTTTAAAGGCCATTACCCTTTATTTCCTGGTATTTCTACTGTGCGGCTTAATTTTGAACTTTGGGTAGGTTTGGGGTTTTTTTTCCCCTGAATCCACAGGTGTGGCATTTCATTTTAGTGCAGTGAATTTTGCCTGCATATATAAACTGCTTATCTAAATATGTATGTGCCAGTTGCATTAGTGTCATGAAGACTGCTTGCGTGATATTGGAGTACATAATGGAGAAAGACAGAAAAATCTTGTGCTTCAGCAAACCTAAATAGAGAAATATTTTACAGTTAAATTTAAAATCTAGTATTGTATAAAAAAATACCTTTCTTTTTGTTCTTGTTGAAGCTTGCACTATCATTAAAGTCCTTAGGCATGAGAATATGCACCTGAGGAAGTGATTATTTATTGTTGCAAGTTGCAAGGGCTGCAGTACTGAAGTTTCCCTAGGAAGAAAGAAGCGTTTTCAGAGAACTCTGCCTCCTTTTATGTGAGATAGGTTATCTTCTTCTAAGTTCAGAGAAAGTGTGCATCACAGTCCAGAGCAACCTTGATAATGAGTGTTTGAAGTTATGTTTATCAAAGTCTCAACTTCGGGAAAGTGAGAGTTCACTACATTACCTCCCATACAGTTTTTTATCTTAGCCCCTTCCCCTTTCCCAGAAACAGAACAACTACTGTGTGAGGGTTTTTTTTGTGTGTTTTGGTTTTTCTTTTTAAGTCTGGAAATACCTTACTGAGAAAAACATTTGTGGGTGAGTTACAAGTTCATGCTTTTTGTTTTACAAATGACTGGAGGCTGAAAGGTAAATGTTGATACTTTTCCTCCCTGTATTCTCTTGGGAAAACACTTGACTTCCTGCTTTAACTGTCCTCTGTACACTGGATCCAGTTAACATATGAGTAATTTTAAGTTGCTTTATTTAGTAGCTTATGGTGAATTGATTTCCCGGGTAATATTTTAGGAATGCGCTACTTTGTGAACTAGCTTTAATTTACTCAGTTCCTTTTTCCTTCCTTCTTGTTTTGCTTTATAGATATTAGAGCAGTTGGACTTAAAAAAGGCATGTTCTTCAACCCTGATCCTTATCTAAAGATGTCCATTCAGCCAGGCAAGAAAAGTACATTTCCTACATTTGCTCATCATGGCCAGGAAAGAAGGTCGACTATCATCAGTAACACAACTAATCCTGTTTGGCACAGAGAGGTAATGTATCCCTTTTGAGAGCTGTCTGCCAGCTGATGCAGTGTACCAGGCTTGTATTTTCTCTTTCTGTATTAGTCCTTACTCTCTGAGGGCTGTGAGCTTATTTTGTAGCTAGTTATTTAAACTGACACAGAAATTGTAGTAATTTTAGGAACCCTGTTGTTGGATAGCAACAGCTATCATCTGCATATTTAAGCTGTGTATTTAAGCTGCACTGCTGTGAGATTTTCATTCCCTTGTCTGCTAACAAGAGTTAAACTCACCCAGCAGCCCTGTAGATTTCTTGAAATTGCAAAAATGAATTAATTAAAATGGATTGTATGTTGTGAAACTCTTTAAGAAGAGGTACAATAAGTCAGCATTTTTGCTCAGTGATTGCAACAACTGTTCATTTGGAAATGATATTCTCATTGTGCATAGCAGGTGGCAAGCTTTCAGTTTTGTCAGGCAGAGAGGATGCTCTTTGGTGTAGCCTCTGTATGCACTGCTGTAGGAAGGAAAGCCCAGGAAGGCATTACAGCACCACTCAGCAAGGCGGAAAAAAAAGGCCGTTTGGCAGAAGCCAGTTTTCCAGATGTGTTTATATTGGGTAAGACAGTCCCACAACTGTCTTTGAGCACAGAAGAGCCAGGCTGTGCCTTTGAAGAGAAATGTTTGTGGGAAACAAGGTGAAAACACTTACACAAGTCCATAACCCTTTCAGGACTGGTGAGCAGCATTCTTGATCTGCGTCTGTTTTCGAATGAGCAGATGCCTGTACTGTGTTTGATGAATGTTAACGTGCTCTTTAGGAGGACTGGAAAATTGAGTGGACTTTGGAAAAGGTTCCCACAAATCGTAATCAAACCAAACAAGCAGGAAAGCAGAACAGAGCGGGGCCAGCATTAGTACTGCTCTGGGGCGCTTGCTTGTGGGAAAGACTGTGGATGTGTGGAAGTCTTAAAATCCTAAAAAAAAAAAAATCAGAGTTCTAATCTCTAAATTGATTCTTCATCTGTCTGTCTGTCCATCCATCTATCCAGTAGATAGAAAGAAGATCTACTCTTATTTTTCCCCTTTTTTCTCCTCCAGTTCTCCTTGGTTTTGAAGCTTATTAGAAAGGTGACAGTGCGTGCACCAGTGAACATTGTATCAGCTTGCTTTAACTGCTTTATCTTCCCCTGTAGCAATTCTTGGATGACAGCAGCTTACGATCCCATTACATATGCTGTCCTAGTGGTGCAGAATGGATCCTGTTTTACATCTAATCCTTTCTGCACAATAACTTGCAATTTTATAGCAAACTGAGGGTGACAAATTTTTAAGTTCTGTTCATCACAGGAACCCAGCTCCAACAGTTGCCCAGCATGAGAAAGTGATTTTATTCCTGACCCAATTTAATTGCTGGTTTTGAGTATATTTAGCTGATATCTACAGCTGAACTGAAGAGTTGTTCCTTCTTTTGTTCCTTGTTCAATACATCTTTAGCTATCTAGCCAGATGCGTATTAGGCATTGTACTCAGGTTATGATTTGCTCAGAGGTCTTAAAGATGGCAGATAGTAAAAAGTACAACCAGATGATCTCAGCTTTTCTGAGTAGGTTATACCATACATTTTTGTTTGTTTATTTGAAATATCTTAAAATCTAGAGGAAAAATAAAAATCTTAGGTTCCTAAGCTTGCTTTCCTAAGGGAATTTGTTACCACACTGTGTGTATGTGTGTGTGTCTGCCAACATGCCTGCTCATATATTTGCCCTGTACCACTTTTGAATCTTTTGGCCATCTTCAGGCAGACTTGACAAAGCAGCACAGATCTCAAAGATGAAGTATTCATAAACTGCATGAAAATTGATGTTAGGCTGAAGAGAGTAACTGTGATAGTGTTCCCTCATAGGGAACGGTGGAAGACTGATCTTTTATAAATTAGCACCATGTTGTTTAAAGGCCCCAAGTGCAGAAGAAGGTTCTGTTGGAGCTTGCTGAGAAGATTTATGAACTTTGGGGCAAAAATCTGTAGAAAATTCTCCTGTTTCAGTTACAATGCTGCTGAAAATAATGTATACATGTTGCCCTTTTCACTTCTTGTCATGCATACAAAAAATGAATCCAAAACATCGTGTTGGAAGGGAAGTTCTCTAAGCACAGCCTAGAGTGAGATGCTTTCCTCCTTCCTCCTGTGTTGACCTGGCTACTCTTCCATAACCTGGTAGAATACGGTTCTCTTTTTGCTTTCTACTCTCCAAATTGAAGCAAGCACTAGGATACATTGCTTTCTCCTTTCTGACGTAGACCACAAAAGTGCTTTTATCCAGTGCAGTTTCTTACTGAGCAATTATTTTCAAAGAACAGTGAAAGGGCATAGGTTTCCTGAGAGGCTAGTTACCTATGCAAAAATATAGTGCTTAATAAATGATGCTGACATTATTTTGCAATATGGAAACTGCTGTCATCAATCATTGCTTTTGGAGTTCACTGCACACTAGTAGTAATTATGTACATACTTTCTGCATAAAGGTGTATTGATATGGTGTCAAATATGTTCTTTCCTTCCAGAAATATTCTTTTGTTGCACTTCTAACAGATGTCCTGGAAATTGAGGTTAAAGACAAATTTGCCAAGAGTCGTCCGATCATCAAGCGCTTTCTTGGGAAGTTAACCATACCAGTTCAGAGACTACTGGAGAGACATGCAATTGGGTAAATTAATACATTTCTTAGTGCTAACTTTCGTTGATCAGGGAGACTCAGCATCTAGGATACTGGCTCAGAGCAGCCTTTCTGGCTTCCTGGCACAGACCAGCAAATTCCTACTGCATCTGTAGTAAGACATTTAGCAGAAATTTTAATAGCCTTATTGCCTGACTGGAAGATGTCAGTGTTTCAAACCCTGTTCTGAATACCTGTACCCATGTTTGTGTATATGTGTGTCTATAATTTGTTTTCAGCTTAATTTCTTTACACAAAAAAATGTTACCCTCACAAAAAATGTTACCCTCTGGCTAGCTAGTCAAGAAGCAAGGCGTTATCACAATACTATGTGATCGTGTGCAAATTTTTTAGAAGAAGCAGATTTCATTGTCTCATTTCTTTTGCAGTTCAAGTATTTTTAATTGTCAGTTTAATAATCAGAGATTTAATATCTGTTCAGCTAATTAGCCAGAACTGCAAGGCTGTGACTCCTTATTTTTCAGGGTGCTGGTGGTACTACACAATTAAAATTGCCTTTTGCTATGAATAGCGCACTGATGGGACTCAAAATTCACCTGTTGTGCTATTTTAAAAAATTTCTGTTCATTTTTTGATAGCTAACTGCTACGGTATAAAGACGCAAGTCACTTAGAAACTTTTAAGATGTTTTATACTTGATGATGGTTACTGGAGGGGACCATAACATAGTCAAGTGAATGAACCAATGAGGCCTTCGTACAACCATATGCACTGAGAAGAGCCTGAGACTTGGTAATTAGGCAGTGATGCATTGCAGGTGTGAAGCAAATGTCTGGAGGTCTGCAAGAGATGCACTGGTGTGTGCAAAAATATAATTTTACACTTAAAACAGAGCAGTAATTGTAGAGTATATTATTTTGTTAGTATCTTTTTACATATATATGCTATATTTGACAAATTAGAAAAAATAATTCCTTGAAAGACAATGGGAGGAACTGAATAATTCAAGCGTTTTGTATAGGACCTAACTCAGTCTGCTAAAGTTAATGTGTCTCCTTTAACTTTAAAAGGCCACTGGATGAGGCCCATGAGGAATGATGGTGAAAAACGTGTATATTCTTCCCTGAAAGTTTAAGGGCATGGCAGTATCATCACGCTTTTGCACAGAAAGCAGGATATAAATGACTGGCTTCCTCTTTCACAGATTTTCCCATCACAGTAACAAGTTGCATAGATGGAGAAAATCAAATTCAGTTTGAAAAAAGTTTTCAGCTTTAAGTTTCCAAAGTGGCAGTTACACTGGTAAGTAAAGTAAGAATAGAGTTGGAAGAGTAGCTTAAAATGTTGATGATGTCTTCTGATACAGAATTTATTTAACAAAAAAAAAAGCCTTCCCATTTGTTTTGTTGTGGTATCCAAGAGCAGTTCAGATGTATACACAATCTAACTTTTCTAAGAAATGCTTCATCTTTGAGTTTCAAAAAATTGTGATAAGTTGAGCAAGAAGCTTTTTCTAATAAATTTGCACACTGCTAGACACTCAAAAATAGCACCGTGATACAGACTGGTTTCAAAACCTAGTTCAGGGTGTTCATTTCCATGCTAAACCCCAAAATGTTTTTCTGCTCTGGGGTTCTTAGTGCTGTGAGGTCTGTAAATTACCTGTTTGCTGTGTTCATCAGTTCTTGTTTTTTCAAACTGATATGCTGGAAGACATTTTCTGTTTTCTTCTCCATACTTCAGTTCTGTATATTTAATATATCAAATCTTTTTAGGAAAGGAAGGGCTGTATAATAAATATGTAGCAAGAATATAGGTAAGTATTCAGTTTGGTTTTGCCATACTGCTGTGAGAACTGACATTAATCAGTCTTGCAGACATTTTTGCCTCTTCATCTGTAGTTTATTTGTCCATTTACAGTTTTTGCATGCCAATCAGTTGTCAGAGTTCCTTTTTCCTAGACACTGTAAAGACAGACAACATTTCACCATAAGTTTTGTGAAGGAAAGGAATGGTTAGTATAGATGTGAAGTAGAAATGCACCAAACGTACAATCAACTGCTAATTCTCTTTTATTTTGTTTTCAGTCAAGCAACTAAAACATCTTCACTTTCTTCTTTTTCATTTTGGTGATGTCAAGGACAATTGAAATCCTCTATTAGGTTAACATGTGAACTTGAAAAATTACATGAACAAAGTCCAAGGACTTACAGTACACCATATGCTTAACTTGCCCGCCCCTGTATTAATGATCAGTATTTCTGAATGAAAAGGTGAAGTCCAGAACCAGCTGTTTTTAGACATACTGCACTAAAATTCTGCCCCACTTTTAGCTGTTGGTGTAGCTCACAAGTTTGTGCAACAAAATGGCCGTGGCTTTAAATTTAATGGAAAATATGATAAATGAGCATGAGAATCATCTAGTATTGATTCAACTGAATACAGAGCAGACATTACTAACGTCGTGGCTTTCTCTAATCTTGAATGGCCTAGAGTAATATAAACCTTATGCAAAAACTGTAGAAATCTCAAATGGCAATATTCTGAGGACACCCCAAGTCTAGCTGAGAATTGTAATTGGAGTACAGAGTGATGAATCTGTGACAGATGCTGGAGACACTACTATAATAATTTGATGTACTGAGGCCCATAGAGCAACATGGGGAGGCTGCTTTGCCTTACATTGTCCGCTCAAGCCTTTTTTTTTTGCTAGAAGTTAATTTTTGGATGCAAACTGCTGCAGCTTATTTCAGTAATGACCTTGTATTCATTTTAGTCTGTCACTCATATTGCAGTAAGAGTGCTCCCACTAAGGGAGAGGTGTTTATACTAGTATAAATTTATTTGCATAAATAGCGATTAATTTCCTGTGGAGGTTTTCAGCAGCCCCCTCCTCTCCCTTCAGCTGTCCCAGCTGTGCTGAGGGGGCTGGGGCTGTGAATTCTGGCTGTTCCTAATAAGAACATACAGCCTAGGATCTGATCCTAACTCTCAAGCTGATACAAGTGCTTAATCAAGTCTGAGTCCCACTGAATTCAATAATCCTTAAGAATGTATTTGAAGTTAAATCTGAGCCTTAATAGCTTTTCTAAATAGGAACACAGAAGTGCTTTAATGAATGAGAACTAAAATGTGAAGAAACTAGCTGGGAATTTTGTACATATGAAAAAGCCACAAGGGGGCAGAAGGTTTTAAAAAATGGAAGGTTTTGTTAATTATAAAACATATTTTGGTTTGGGGAAAGGGGGAGGTTAGGGAAAAGGGGTTCTTTTGCAGTTTGATTTCTTTAGGGCTTAAGAAGAGATTTAGGGATGTGTAAGAATTGCTGGAGCACAATCTGTATTTTGAAATGATCAAAAGTAGTCTGTTAGACTGTTTTATCCGTTAACTAAAGGTATTTTACACCATTGTTGGTGCTTATGCTTTTCCATACAAGCCAGAGTATGTGACTGATTTTAAGATTCTAATAGAAATTACATTCTACCACGCTGACTCTTACCTGATAAAAGCCTCTGATACAAAATCCTGGAAGAACAAAACTAGTTAAAATTGTAAAAACCTGCAATATCTTTGTTTTTGCAGAGACCAGGTTCTCAGCTATAATCTTGGCAGAAGGCTCCCAGCTGATCATGTAAGTGGATATCTCCAATTCAAAGTGGAAATCACGTCTTCTGTTCACGAAGGTGAGAATTTGTCAGTGATCTGGATCTCCAGATAGATGTATGGAGAGAATTGCCATGTTTTTCTATTTCTAGGATTTTCTGTGATTATGTACTTTCTTATTTGTGTACAGTGCCTCTATCGCAGATTTTTCTATTGGGATTCGAAGTTTAATATGTCATGTACTGCTTTGGAGATGGTAATTCCAATACACCAGCACTTAGTGTATTGTTTTCCTATTTTGTCAGATAGATTTTAAATGAATCTGCTTATGAGTCTCATTTTATGGGATAGATTGGGTAATCAAATTCATTGTTTCTCTTCACTCTGTAACATCTTCACTCTGTAACACCTTTGGCTGAGATAAGCAGTTGCAAGTAAGATTCCACCTGTGCTCTCCTCCTCTGCTAGTGTACATGCAGATCACTCTGTCCTTTCCCCCTTTTACAGGACTCTGTCCTTAGAACCAAGAATATCTGTTACAGTTCGGAGAATACATGCTTCTGTTAGCAATTCTTTTATTTCCCTTTTTTCCTGTTCTGAAGGCAGCTAGCAGAACATGGCTGGTACAGTTTCATGTTTATCACATCATATGTATCTATTTACATGTTTATCATCTTAGATTCTCCTTCATTAGATTTGGTATAATCTCTTTGGTAGTGAGATATTGCGCTATCTTTTAACTTGATACTACCTTCTCGCCTTTTTTCGTAGCCATGTAGTCCTGTATCTCATTATTATTTTTGCTCTGTCACCATTAAAAAAAATCCTTGTCTTCAGTCCTGTTTGTTGACAGGCACTCTAGTTCACAGACTTCACTGTTAAGTTTTTTGCAGACGTTTACAGACACATCTGGATTATTCAGCTCTGTGCCTTTTAATTCCTCTGTGGGGCATTACCATCTTATCTCTCAAATGAGACGGCTTATTTTCATTTCCCTTTTGTATGTGTTACCATGGCATACCTAATATCTCATGAACTTTACTTAGGTAGATTCCCATTCTTTACAGTGGAAAAGTCCTATAAATTAACTCAAAATATATGTTGTGTATCTGTACACAATTTGTGACTCCTCATGCGATCTCAGATGCTGGTTTGCATGCTGTTAATGGTATAGACAACTGGTGTCAGTGACTGGCTTTGTGTAAATCCTACTTTTGGATATGAGAGATACGCTGTAGAAAACTGGTTCCTTGGTGAGGCTGGTTTTACTGGCAGTTTGGCAAGATGCTTGGCAGTGCTCTGTCTTTCGAAAGCAAAATGGGAGTCCTTTAAAGTCATGCTTCACACCCCTTAAATTTTCTATATGCTATGAAATAGTATAGACTTATACAGAGAAAATTCTGTAATTGCTGTTACAACACTGTAGATGCCTCTATTGTTTTAATTGTATTTTCTTCCCTTAGTTGTCTGATTAAAATAAGCAAATATCTTGAAAGGTGTGTATTTTTATATCACTTCTGTGATCTTCTGTGGTGCAGACAAAGTAGAATGAACTGTCTGTTGCTGCATTGTGTTTCACGTTCAGTCTTCATGTCTCTGCAGATGCTTCACCAGAAACAGTTGGCACTTTGCTAGGAGTGAACTCTGTAAACGGAGACCTGGGGAGCCCTTCAGATGATGAGGACATGCCAGCAGGACATCACGATACATCCACAGTGTGTTCCAATGGTCCAGTCCTCGAGGAATCTTCTGGAGAAGCAATCCTGAGACACCCTTTAAGGACTAGTACAACTCTGGAAACGGACCAGGATGATTTGACCTCTGGTGCTTCAAGATCATCGCCTACCAGAGGTCGCCAGGACTCACTAAATGACTATCTGGATGCAATAGAACACAATAATCATCCCAGACCCGGGACATCTGCCTGTGGTGAGCGTCCGCGTGGAGCCTCCCCAAAACTGAGGAGTAGCTTCCCTACTGACACAAGACTTAATGCTATGCTTCACATTGACTCAGATGAAGAGGAGCATGAGCTACATCAAGACCTGGGTTTTCAGTCTTCCTTGGAAGACGATGGTGGTTTGGTAATGCTTAATGGTGCTACAAGAAATGTTGAAAGAAATGGTTTAAGTTACTCATCAGATCAGGTAATGCAAGGGCCTGCAGAGAATGAAAACGCTTCAGCCTCTGAAGTTCCTTTGCCATCAACTGATGACCAGCAAGAGACTCTCCCAGAGCTTCCACGATCACAGTTAGCAGGAGGTGAAAGCCTGCAAGGTTCTCAAAGTGAAGCACCAGCAGACCAGGCTGGCAGTGAGTCGTGTGCCGATCAGGAGGCAGAGCAGGCTCCTAGCAGTACGGACGCAGGAGCTGTCAGTGCTGCTGCCGGGAGCAGAAGGGGTGTTAGTGAAACGGAATCCATTGATCAAGGGTCTGAACCTTCCCAGATGTCATCAGAAACCGAGCAGAGTGATCCTGCTCGCACGGAAAGTGTCAGTGAGGCTAGTACCCGGCCAGAAGGGGAGAGTGATGTGGAAGGGGCAGACAGTTCTTGCAATGAAAGCGCGACTGTGCGACGTTCCTCAGTTGAAATGCGGTGTTCTTTTGAAAGTGCCAGGTTTCCTGAGACTCCAGCCTTTTCTTCTCAGGAGGAGGAAGAGGGAGCTTGTGCCACTGATGCAGCTAGAATTGAGCCAGGTGCTGAAACGCAGGACTCTGCAAGTGCTTCTGGTTCTCTACCTGCGGTACAGTTACCTCTGGAGCAAGTACTGGAGGCTGAGGCAGGTGAATTACAAGACCAAGAGGAAGCAGAAGAAATCTGGCAAAGAAGAAGAAGCCTGCAGGCGGCAGCTGCCAATAGTCAGTCTCAGGATGAAGAAACTGAAGGAGCCCAAGCAGCTTGTGAAGGTGCCACAGCACAGGTTGAAGGAGCTACTGGAGGTAATAACTGCAGGAGGCACATTCTGAGGTGACCTTTCTGCAGCCAGTAAAAACTATTTAAAAAATTAACATCTGAAAATAAAGATCTTCATTTCTCAATTTCATTAGCTTTCAAGATGGGTTTTTTTTTGTTCCTTTGAGATTTATTCCCTTTTTCAAGAGACTTGGGGTTTTTGATTTAACAAAAAATCAAAACTGAAATATTCAAGACATGTTTATTTTGAAACTGGATATATTTTAGTTCTTGAGATTTTAGTTCTTGAGAGAGTAATGAGAAGGAGGATGAAGAGGAGGAAAGAATTCCACAATATTACCCTGCTTGCTAATCAAAATGGTAATAGGGGAGAAATAATCCCCAAACTATGAAATGCAAACTAGAATTTATATTTGGGTCTTCTCTTTGGCGTGTTTATCGGGGGAAGAAAATATACGCATATATTAGCATTAAAACATAAGGATAATGAAAAGAAAGGGGGGGGGGGCTTGTTTCTTAGTCACACTTCAGGCTGTTTATCTTCCCTTTCCCAGTCCCTTATCTGTGTAGACACATTCTAGCACAGCTGGAACCATCAGAGGAGAGGAATGTGTTACTCAAGTTAACACTGTGAAAATGTTGCCAAATGTAAAATTATTTTAACAGTTGAGAACTTTGTGTCTCACTAAAATCACTGAACATAGAAATGTGTCTCTAACGGGTTGTTTCCAAGCACATTTCACAGTGGATTATCCATTCAGTTTCTTCAGGGATTGAAGTGGATCTAATCAAGTGGGTGCGTTCAAACTGGATTTCTGAATGTGTCTTTTTCATAACATTTCCAAAGTTTTGCGATCTATTAATCTCTTCATAAACAGCTCTTTGATTTGGAAAGAATAATTTGGGTATTTATTTCAAATACTGTCAATGTGTTCTGTTACGTAATTTTCTAGATGTTTGGGACTCTTTATTAGGTGTCAGGTTGCACTGTGTTTTGCATTGCTGCAGCAATGAAGGTCAATGGACAGTTTCACCTCCCACTCTTACAGCAGGTTTCTGTGGTGGCCAGGTGAAGCTTTGTCCTTGTTCCTTGCTGGGATACGGCTCTGGCACACGTTGTTGTTTCTGTGCCTTGGATTCCACTGGTTACAGGTGGATGTGGCACATCCCAAGAGGTGACATTTTCAAGACCAGGACTGCAGCGCATCCCAGAGAAATAACTTACCCAGAACTGTAGACATAACTTGTTTTGCTCCCAAAAATAGATGACTGTTAGATATATCCTAAAATATCGTAGTCCTGCAGAAGCTTTAGCATATCTTGTTTACTTTAGAGGCAACTCTAGGGCTTCCCCACATTGACTGAAAAAATAATTTGTGGGCATTTTGATTCCAGGTTCTCAAGCCAATGGCCATCAGCCCTTGAGGTCGCTGCCTTCGGTACGTCAAGATGTCAGCCGGTACCAGAGAGTGGATGAAGCTCTACCACCAAGTGAGGTTCTTCATACTTTAATTGGGGGATAGGCTGCCTGGATCTCATTACGGAGATCTCATTACATTTCTGTTTTACATGTGAGAACTGAGAATGAACAGCTGAGAAGTTCTAAGTGAGGAGTGATGACAATGAAGTCTAGTGCTGTTTTGTAAAAGGAATTGTGCTTAGTCTGCAAACTATCAGGATGTGTTATGCTAATCATACCTGATGTATACAGACTTGCTAAGTGACATTTGCAGAGAAGTAGGAAGGCACGGTGCTGCCTTTTCAGTATGCAGTACACATGGGTAGGGAGGTGAGGTGATATGCTATGTGAGGCACTTGGAGGGAAAGGTGTCAAGCACTCTGAAATCTCGGAACACTTCTTGTGTGGTGATGATTTGCAAATAAATATATGACATCTTTAATCTCTGTAGATTATGTGAAAGGTGTCTGTGTTTTCCTTGCATTTTTTGAGGCAGTGGGAAGACTTTTTGAATTAAAGTAAACCTGGGTATTAAGCAACAGTTAGATGACTGTAAATTGGCAAATAAATTGTAATTTCTCTAATGCATATGAAAAATGCATTGCTCCCAATTGTTGGACTGATTCACTTGCTTAAACACAGAGCAGTGAAAATGTATTCAGTATTAGATATTTAAAGAAAGGAGAAAGGACAAAAAAATGTACACAGCTAATAGGCAAACATTACTTTAAAACAAAAAAGGAAAAAGTTAAATTCAGACCCACTGAAGACATGGCAAAGCTCTGTTACTTTAAAGGAGTCAGGAATTCAGATATTTAGTGTAAAATGAATAGATCCTTATTTCACAGTATGGAATGGGACTGTGTGTGCTCTGTAATTGGAGAGGGTAACTGGAAGGAGCCTGATAGCAGAACACAGATATAACTATGTATTGGAAGGCCAGGGTGATGAGAAGATTTTGCTCCCTGCTGCTTCTCTTACAATCAGTGCATACAACAAATCAGTCCTGCGTGCAGATCCTAAAGTTAATTAACTGCTACCTCAGTAAACCAGTATTATTTTTTACAAAATTGTGCCTGGGAGACATATATTTCAGTTGCATTTTTATCACTTCTTGTACTGAAAAAGATAGAGGACATTACGGCAAATACTGAGAGCTCAGTGTAATAAATGAAAAATGCATAGAGATAGCTTTTATAGTACCGTGGTTTATACATAGATTGCTTTTTGTGTTTCAGAAGCAAACTATACACTACAATAACTACTTGGAAAAACTATTGGAATGTTAATAGAAAAGGTTTGGCTGTGTGGTATTCTAACACTTCCAACATTTGCTGGGATTTTACAGAGTCATGCGTGGGCATGCATATATACATTGCCCCTTTACAATCAAACCCCAATGTAATCTTTATGTAGATCATTCATTTGCTAATGTGAATAAAATCTTAGCTACTAATTGTTGCCTAAGTTCAGTTCTTCTCTCCAAAGCTCCACTTTCGGATATGTAACACTTTTAATATTTTAATAGTGAAAAATTAGAGAAAACATTGAGAATACGATTTTGAGTTATAAGCTGTAATTTCTTTGTAATTTCTTTTTAATTTGGGTTGTGTTCTATTTGTTGTTTCACCAGAATCTGAAACTAAGAAAGAAAAATAGGTGTATTTCTTTCAGTTGTGTGTAGGTTAAGTTAAAGAACAAGAGAAAGAATTTAAATATTTATCTAGTATTTCTGCCTATAACATGCAACATTATGCTCCAGTTCCTACATTCCTAGGGAAAAATCAACACATAAGCTTGACCACGCAACCTTGGTGAATTACAGTTTTGCAATTCAGCAAGCTAAGTTATTTGTAACACATTTGACTGACAATGATTTGACTAATGGAAAACATCCTTGTCCATCATGACACTGATGCAGGTGCCTTACTTTAGAAGCCATTGCCCAAAGGTTTAAACTTTTGTATTTAAAATTGAATGCAGGCAAAAATGCTTTTCTTCTACAAGACCACATTACAGAAATTATGATGGTGTGTCAGAATTGGATATACAATCACCACAAGAAAAATCTCAGCTGTTATACAGTGGTTTAAGGTTTGACATTTAAGCAGAATAATGAATTCACAACTTTAAACTGGTTTGGTGTCGTGTTCCCCCCACCCCCAATGAACAAGTCTGTCTTTCCCAAAATATGACCGTGTTTTGTTTTGTTTACAAACTCGGGTTAAAAATTTTGAGTATTTTTATTTCATCAGGAGATACTACTTTTTTGAAATGGGAACTTTGCCCAGGAACATCTGTTTCAATCTTCTTTCTTTTTAAGAAATGGAAACATTTTTCAGAGAATGTTGAAATGTTTCCGTTTGCTTTTTTGAGATATAAATGAAATTTTGTTTTAATAACTTTCAAATGTGTTATATTTTGAATAGCAAATACAGTGATTACACCATAAGCATTGTGTAGATGTAATTTTGTTTATTTTTAAACTTGTATTTTAAATTTACAGTATAATACAAAACTTTTGATTTTTTTCTCCTGGAATTGAAATATGTTCCTTAAAAAGTTCTTTTTGTTCCTGTGCTATTGTGCTGCTTTTTCTTTTCTTCCTCAGAGCTTACTTTCCTATGTAGCTCTTGTTCACACTAGAAATGCCTTAAACACTAATAGGCTATTTTGATTGTGCATCATAAGGATGGAATAGTAATTTGCATTGTGACCAACTAAAATACACAGCTGTTGTGTGGAGATGACAGAATGAATTTATCTCAAAAGCTGCCTTTCCTTGCTCTTTGCAAGTCAGCTCAGGCCCTACAGTGTGATACAGCGAGCCACTTGGCTGCCTCCAAGAGTTGACAGAGGTCGTAGTACTCATACAGTAACAAAGCCTGAGGTTTTAAGGCTGTCAGTATTAAATACTTTACAGTAGAATTTAGGTCTCCTTCTCTTCTGTCAAGACATTTTTATGGCCTCTTTCCTCACGGAGCAGCAGTCATTTAGGATTGGTTGCTTGCCAGTGTTTTTTAAAATGTTACTGCAGTGACTGATGTTTCCACCTAGACTTGCAATACAGAAAATCCATTCTAGAAACCTTCTGAGCTCTCACAGACTGTTTTTCAACTGACATGCTAAATGGTGTGCACGTTTTCTGCAGTTGCCAGTGCCCAAGAATCAGGCATCTCTGTTTCTGCATATAAAATATCTTAGTATTTTTTCTTATTATTACGTGGTCCCCCAGAGCCTTCATCTCTGCTCCCCTGGTGTGTCTCCATGGTCTAGACTTCTAACATTGTCTGTAGCTTGTGTTGCAAAACCAGTGGGCAGCATTATAGTTATGCTTGCACAAGTTGAATTTGCTATGATATTTGCAGAATCGGCAATTCTGGAACATGCATTTAATATATGAAGGAGTTTGATTATTATAATTGTCCATCTCCTCTGGCAGGTCTGCTTACCTTTAACATAGCTACATGTAACCCAGAGAGAACACTGGGATCTGTTTTATTACTGTTACTACTAGCTGGGGAAAAGCAATGATGGGTGTCAAGCTTTGCAAGGCTTTTGGTACTTATCCATTGGCCTTTTGCACTGGAAGTAACCCTCAGGGATAGGATCTTGAATTACTTCAGTCCAAGAGAATTAGACTGAGTATCCTGATACTTCCCCCCCACCCCCCCCGGGACAGTTACTGGTTGGTGAGAAATAGAATAGAGAAAGGAATAGAAATGATTAGGTATAGATTCCACAGAACCTGAACTACAGTGGGGAATTTGATTTATGGGATAAAATAGGGAAAAGCCATATCTCTTAACCGTTCAGTAAGAAAGTTCTGTGCTGAAGTCATCCTGTAAAAGAGAAATAGAAACTTGGAACAATAGATTCAGTTATTAAATAAATAAACCCCAAGCCCTCCATAGTTCACAGTGTTTTATTGCTACTTAGACTGGGAGGCTCGAATTGACAGCCATGGACGGATTTTTTATGTGGACCACGTAAACAGGACAACAACATGGCAGCGACCCACAGCTCCCCCAGCCCCACAGATTCTCCAGAGGTCAAATTCCATACAGCAAATGGAACAGCTGAATCGCCGGTAAGAATTACCCTTGTTGTTTGTGAATTGTGTGCTTGCAAAACTGCATTCACCATTGTAAGACTGAGTATGAAGACAGGGTCACAGTTGCTCCTGCAGCTGGCCATATGTATTTATTTTTATGTGGCTGTTGTTTTAATTTGCATGTGGGCTTCTAGGGCTTTTGCATTACACCTGCGTTCATAAGCTATGTGGCTAAAAAAAAAAAAATCTGATAATGGTTTTCAGAAATCCAAAAGGCTATTAATGCAGAAATTAGAGGTCAGTGTATATTAACCTGCAATGCAGAAAAGACGGGCAAGCTCCCTTGGAGCCATAATTGGGTCATAGTTGCCATATACTATATATAAAGTCCAGTTTTCTAACCCTAGGTACCAGAGCATCCGAAGAACCATGACTAACGACAGGCCTGAAGAGCATACAAATGCCGTGGATGGAGCTGGAGAGGAAACTGACTTTCACCATTCTAATGCAGGTTAAAAAAAAAAAAAAAAAGTGTTTTTTTCCTCTTTCTAAAGGGAGCACTCAACTCGTAGATGATTTAATGAGAGTGGCATAAGGCAGAACCTAACTTCTGCCCCTGAAAGTCTTGGTGAAAATGAAACCATTTGTTTTCATTGCTGTCTAGTTTTTGAAGATTACGGCTCAGCCTGTTCAAGACGCTGAAGAGGTAAATGTGAGATTCGGAGCATTTTTCTGTCAGTACCTGACTGGGTAAAAATATAGGCAGGACGTTTGCAGTGAAAAAGTAAAAAATCGTGTGGTCTTGGTTACAAATACTTTGAATCTGCTACTGCATTTTGAAATGGTAGAATGTAGGACTAGAAAGGACTTTGGGCAGTCATCGGCTTTATCTCCGTGCTGAAGATAGATAGGATGAGCTGTACCTAAACCACACTTGGCAAATGCTATCTGATGTGTTCTTATAACATGTTCTCCAGTTGATGGACATTCTGTAACTTTTTTAGACAGTCTACTCATACCGTTTCTCTTGCAACATATTCTTAAAACTGTTACCTCCTAGTCTTTCCTCATGGCTTATGTTTTTAGGTCTCCAGTTATTTTGTTGGCCTGCTCAGGATTGTCTTCAGTTGGTTTGCAGCTCCTGAGAAAATTAAATAAAGCTATGACTCTGCGGTACTGAAGAGACTGCGGAAATGTCACGTGTCTTATGTACAACACTCCTTGTACATTCCTGCATAATTATTACTTTTTTCCTGATAGTTTGACACTAACCACCAGTGTCCAGTCTTTGATCTGCTAAAATCAGGTCCAGATCCTTGTGTGCAGACCTTTGGTACAGATGTCTGGTTTTCATCTGGTGTTTTTGCAGTTGATTATCCCTACCTGCACACAAGTCTTTGCACTTTTCTAATGTGTCACTATGGTTTTGAATCTTGTCCATCCTGCTGTCCAAGCACTGCAGCACCTCCTAGTTGGAGCAAGTTCTGTCCTCCCTATCAAGTCATTAATAGAAATAATGAATAGGACCAAAGCCAGACAGATCTCAGTGAAACATCATTTGGTGTACTCTTTTTGTTTGACATAAATCATAACTGCTCTATAGTACGTTTTTGCAAACTGCTGCCAACCCCTCTCCAGGTGGTTTCATCTGTTTCAGGTAATTTTCTCCCCCAACATGATTCTGGGAGTATCATGTAAAAAGTATTAAAGCCCTTATTAACATCAAAATATGTGGCCTTTACACCACTCGAGTAGTAGAAAATAACTTGGTTAGTTTGCTATGATTCATTCTTCAGAAATCCTGGTTATTTGTGTTTCTCCACCTTGCTGTCTTCTTGTTGCTTTAAGTAGTTTGACAATTAGTTCATGTGTCTGAGAATAGAAAATGTCAACTCATCTATAGTTTCCTTCATCCTTTTTATACCTGTTCTTAAAAATGGATATATTTATCCCTTTTCTTCTGAGAACTCCTTCAGACCTCCGAAATAACCACCAGTGTCTCTGAGATTGCTTCACCTAGTTTCTGAAGTGTGTTAAAGTATACTCGATCAAGCCCAAAGGGTTTGAAAATCTCTGATTTGCACCACAGTCTTTAACCCGCTCTTTACCTATTCTAGCCTAAGTAGAAAATTCTCTTTCTTCTCCTGTTTTTTATTTCTTCTGGTTGTCTGGTTGGTGTTATCTTTTTGAATGAAGACAGACGGAAAGATCTTTTTTAATGAGCTCTAAGCATCATTACTAGTTTTTCTTCTCACTAAGTGGTTCTCTCCTTGGTCATCTTCCTACTACTAATTTACTAATACATTTATAAAGTTAGTTTGTTACCCATCCAGTCCCTTGCATAGTTGTGTGTTATTACATGCTTTGGCTTTGTCTCTAGATGCTCTTGATATTCTCTCATAATACTCTTTCCTAAATTAATCTAATACTCAAGTAATGACACCCTTTCTTGAGTTTCAAGTCATTGTAGAACTTGTGATTTAGCTGTGCTCCCTTTGTTTTCCCCATTCCCTTTTTTCCATAACATTTACCCATCCATATTTAGAATTTCTCTCTTTGTTCTTTTCCTCTTTTTTAATTTTTTTTCTTACTTTTCCCTCAGCTTAGAGTCTTATTCACTGCTTCTCATGTCCTTTCTCTGCCTGTGGGTTATTGTTCTTTTATATCCATGGTAGCTGTGTTCTACATGATTAATGTTCATTTGATGGGGAAGTGTGTAAGTACTGCAATATGTAAAAGAAAGAAACTCTGAAATGTAGAAGATGGCATACATTTTAGAGTAAAATCACTGCAGACCCAATCTGAATTTGCAATTTTTCATTTACATTAAAATATGCATTCAAATATCCTGTTGATTTTCAAAGATAATTGGGGGGAACAGTTTTAGCATCGTAGCAGATACCACTTGTAATATATTTTCACTTCCTGGTACTGTTGAAAAATCAGTGCACTTGTACAGTTGCTAGGAGAAGACCCAAATGTTTATTGAAAGTTGAAACTTGAAAGGTACTTCCTTGGCAACCTGTTTCTTACTTACGTAAACCGCTTAAATACTGTATCAGGATTGGGGCTGTGTTAATGGCAGTGATTTATTGGGTTTTTTGTTGGGTTTTTTTTAAAGGAGGAATGAAACATTTTTAAGTGTACAATGACTTTTATATCCATTAGTTAGCATTTAAAAAATAACTTATCTGCATACAGCTACAGTATAGCAATGTAGGCGTGCCACAGGGACCTTCTTGCGTCTTGTACACAGGCACATGTTTGGTAACCCAAATAATTGGACGTGATGGTTTGTTTTTTTTTTTAATGATTGTTCACCAAAAGGAACAAGTAAAAGTTACTAAACTAAAATTTTGGTATTTTCAGGAAATTCAGTGCTGTGTTAGAAGAAATTAAGGTACACTCGTGAAGAATACTTAATAAATCTGAAATAATTGTATATCTAGTGCTTTTCTTGCTTATGTGATTCAAATCGATGTAGTTGTTTGCAGTGGTGTTTTGGTAATGATTATTACTGGAAGTCTTTGTCATTCACTTTGCTGTTAGATTTTCGAAGAGAGAATGTGCTGCCTCACTCTACCTCCAGATCCAGACTTACTTTATTGCTCCAGTCTCCCCCTGTGAAATTCCTTATCAGCCCAGAGTTCTTTACAGTGCTGCATTCTAACCCTGTAAGTATAGTATCTACAGCTGAAAGACTTTCATAAATACGTGCCTATAAATATAGTTGTCTTGCATACAAAGATACTGCTCGGTGTTTGATGCTAAGATATTGGTAGTGCATAGGGAGGCTGGATAAATTCAAATACTCATCATCATTCCTTGCAATTGGTGGGCCGTCAGAGTTTTCCTAGTTGGCATTATAGCTTCTACAGTTCTTATTTTTCACTCATTTCTTCATCTTTCTTATGAGAGAAAATTCATTTATTTATTGAAGCAATAGCTTTCTTACTGTGCTTTGCAGAGAATGAGACAATTCTGAGAATGAAAATGATGCTTATTTTTTAAGATTGCTTTGCTGCTTATGGGGTGATTTATTTCCCAGGTTGCCTGGTTTCAAAGAATCATAGAATCATTTAGGTGGGAAAAAACCTTTAAGATCATTCAGTCCAACCATTAACCTAACACTACCAAGTCCATCACTAAACCAATTAAGGGTAGAGTCATAATTTCATGTTTCCTGGCTTGGTGGCTGGATTATTTTTTAATAAAAGTAAAACTAGGAATCATTAAGGCTGGAAAGGATCTCTAAGATCAACCCAATACCACCATGCCTACTAAACCGTGTCCCAAAGTGCCACATCTACCTGTTTTTTGAACACAAAAATATTTGTATCAAAATACATTAGAGGTCATGCCGAACAAAAAAGCATCTTAATATATATTTTCCTTTTCTGTTTTGCCTGTTCTTTAGTGCTTCTTCTTACATTTTTTTTCCCCAATGTTTCTTTTCCTTTGTGTAACAGGATAATTATGAAATTTTGTATATCTCAGGCAAAATAAGAAACATGAAACACTTACCCCAAAATCTCAGAAAAGGACCATTTTTTCATACTGTTGTGGCTTAGTTAGAGATAATTCGTTCAGGTTTCATAGATGATTAGATCATTTATTTACAGTGGAAATGTTGTCTTTTGTAGTAAGAAGAAATTTTATATTTTAAAAGTATTTCCTTTTGTTATTTATTTTTCAGAGTGCCTACCGCATGTTTACAAATAACACGTGTTTGAAGCACATGATCACCAAAGTCCGGCGGGACACCCACCATTTTGAGCGCTACCAGCATAATCGTGATTTGGTGGGCTTCCTCAACATGTTTGCTAACAAACAGCTGGAGCTGCCAAGAGGTTGGGAAATGAAACATGACCATCAGGGCAAGGTAACCGCAATGTACATGCGGCTCTGAGTGCTGGATCTTGGATGTTGCGATGTCAGGACTCGGTTGCTCTTAACAAGAGCATAAGTGCGCATAGTTCTCTAAAAGGTGTGCATCCTTTCCTCCTGCTTTTGCCAAAAGAAGATTGGAATTTCTCATCTGTGCTGACAAAGCATTGTATGAAAGGAGGAGATGACTGATAAATGGTTATTAATCATTACAAGGAAAATTGCTAGAAAATCTGTAGCCTTTTTACTGTGAAATAAGTTGCTTAGGTTCCCTTGGATGTTTAAAACTTCTTTTGAAAAGAATTATCTTCTGTGTAAATACAGGCAGTTCAGTGAAGTTCTTCGGCATTTTGCCTGGGTACTCATAAGATAATTGAGATGTAAAGTTTCTTTATTATTATCTACTGAATTTTATTTAGTTATTGTTGAACCATTTATATTAACTTTTTTCTTGATTGACTGTCAAGCTTTTCCTTAGGGTGTTTTTTTTTTTTCCTCCTTCAACCTCAAAGTCTTGAGTGGAATTCATGAGTGTGCTTATGTACACTTTTTTCTTTAATAGCTAAGCATTTTCCTAGGTGAGTCCTCTACCCAAATGCTAAGTAGGTCCAGGGTTCATCAGTTTCTGAGATAAAATGGATGCACTTACGACTGGGGTAGCTCTGGGGATGATCTATGGCTATGTATTGGTTAACAGGAAGGAAATTGTGTGTAGTAAGGTTCGTTATTAGGGATCTCAAATAGTTGCAAATCTTACTGCTTTTCAAAACAGGCATCACTTTTCAATTTCTAACAAAATAAAATCAAAGAACAGACACATTTTTATAGTAGGAATGTAATTTTAATGTAATTTTAAACTAGTGAATCCTCACTATCTATAATATGATTGTCTTTGCGGAAGATAGGTGGGTTAAAAATAGGCTGCGATTAGCATGTGAGGAAGTGATAAGGCTATCAGTTTGTGTGAGAAGTCCTGATTAGGACTATAGGCATATTAAGCTTCTCAGTTCTTATGTTTATCAGTCTTGGTACGGTTAGCTGTGAGTGTCCATATAAATAATGATCTTGATGCTTGAAAAGATAACAGGCAGATTCTAAACTGAAAGGTAGAAGTAGTGCTTAACAGTTGGTTTCTTCTTGGATTTATTAACTCTGGAAAGCACTGGGTTTTTTCATTAGAAATACAATTAGGAATGTGCAGTTATACTAACCTTGATCTTTGCCTCCCTCACTCTTCAGTTTTAAATAATTCTTTTCCTGTTCAGTTCTTCAGAGGCCAGTTTTCTCCTGAAGAATATAGAAATTTTCAATTGACTTTAATAGGCGCTCCATGGAAAGAATTAGACCTTTGGATTTCTAGTGTGGTATTTGGTAACAATGATACTACCACAACATTGATCAACAAGAGGAAGCACTGAATAAATCCCCACTGGGATTTCTTCACTTTGAATTAGGCTCAGTATTGTTCATTTTCATTACATTGAATTTCCTTTGTCACAAATAGCACTTGTGGCCAGTAGAAAAGCCTGTTCAGCACTCGAGAGAGTTTATGGCCAGTACATGGTGAGACCAGTGCTTGGTGAGACCAAACTGAAACTGGACCTGCCTTTATTAAAGCATAAAGCGAAAGAGAAGCAAGTAGAAATTAGCCATGCCACAATATATAATTAGATTTCCTTTCCCTGGCTGCTCTTTCCCGCTGAGACGAGGTTTTCCTTTCTTTTTCCAAGTATATCATAGTAAGAGGCTTAGTGCTCTTGCTTACAAGGCGCAGTGATTGTTCTGACCCTTATGCAGTGCTGAGTAGTAGAGTTTTTACTGCCCAACATCAGCGCGGTCCTGGTCACTTGTCCTCTTTGCAGGCTGTCTTCCAAGGTCAGCTGGGGACTGCCTACCTGTGAACTCCCTTCGAAGCTGGACAACAAAACCCAGTTGCCCACTCCTCTTTGACTCCTCCATGTATCCCCTACAGCAGATAAAATCCGTTTGGCATGCAGTTCTCCCTAAAAGGTCTGCCGTGACTAGGATGTAGTTTCTGATTGGCATTACCAATGAACCTTCATCAGTCACTGACCACAGGGAGGCAGAAGACCATTGGAAAAGGTGGTAGTAGGAAGCATCATATAGGCTAGATAGGTCCCTGAGCTAAACTCAGTCTGATTACTTTGAAATTCTGCATTTGTGCAACATGTGTAAGCACGTGTTCATATTTTAAAGATGCAAATGTATATACTCTTGAATTAGATCTCTGCAAGATGTGCAAATACATAAGTAATTGTAGGACATTTATTTTTTGTTTTTCCTTTCTACAATGAAAGAATCTACTGTAATTGATTACTGATGTCTTCAATAGCAAGAAAAGGTATTTTAGCAAGCTTCATAGACTTTAATTGGAAAGATAACCTGGGCAACTATCCATGTTTAATGGGCTAAATGTAGTTGTGGCACTACCCATCTTACGCAAGTTTCTTCAAGCATCATAGATTTGTGGATTATAGCTGGACAGGAGTTATGAGAGGAATTTTTTTTGAAAGGAGACTATGAGCCACACTGTATTTTGAGCTGTGTGCCTATGTCCAGATTAGCCCAAAGCCTTGAAGTTCCAATGATTATCTTCACCGAAGCTTCAAAGTACTAATTTATCCTTTATTTTAAAGTAGGCTACTACTAGCTGGCCTGCAAGCATTCATGTTTAATAAGACATGATTGTCTTTAGCTTAATGTTTAAACTGAGTTGTTTATTTAAATGTAATGCTAAAGAACACTACATGCAATATTAGATTGCTGCAGTAACTCAAAGAATTGTGTTGCACCACTCTAGGTCATACTTTCTCCTGTATGGAATAAGTACCTTTTTTTCATAAGTGATTTTACAGTATAATGTTGACTTAATGAAATCACCTTTGTTTTGATGAAAGTACTTCACATCTTACAAATACACATAGACCAGACTAGATAAAATAGTAGATACAGGGACATTAAAAAAAACCCTATACCAACCATTTGCTAATAAGTGAAATAAACCTTTCAGAATTTTCAGAAAGCCTGGATATGTTCCAGCAGCCTCTTCCAGTCATTTTCCAGGCCCAAACCTGAAATTTCAGAATGGCTTTTGTTCTGCTTTCCCACCAGTTTCATATTCTCTAATCTGTATACTTTCGCTGCAGGTGACATCATTATTTCTCAAGGTGAACAAGTCCTGCATCAGGCTCAAACGTTGCAATTAAAATTGCATTTACTGAATACACTTTATAGTTTTTGAACGGTGGAACAGTCAGTTTCACTTGCATATCTGTAACTATGTCAGATGATCAAAACAGAGTTCTTCATTACTGTTCAGGGAATGTGATTCCTTGCTTGTAGGCACAGGTACAGGTACAGGCAGTAGGGCTGTAGGAGGCTTGCTGCCATCTTCTGGAGCATTTCTAAGGTTTTGCAACTTTGGTGTCCCTCCATATGCTTCTCGTTGGGAAATGGAAGTATGAATATTTTCTCCCACCACAGTCCATAATGGTATTTAGTTGCTGTATAGCATGACACACTGGTTTGTCTACCTACCTTCATAGCAGTCAGAACAACTACATTTTCTCTGGTCTGACTATACCAAGCAGTCTGAAAAAATGATTTTGTGAATACTATAAGCTGGCGTGGCTGCCAAAAGAGGCAGTTCTGCTCTCCTCTTGTCCCTGGTGGGCTGACCGAGGTTAGAGGAACCAGCGGGGAGAGGGACAAAAAGGGAGTAATTTTAGCCTGGACCAGCTCCCCAGCTGGCTTCAGTGCGTGGCTACACAAACACGTGTGCCAGCACAAGGCAGGAAGGGTGCACAAGGGATGAAACAAGTGGTCAGGATGGGGGAAGATGAGAATGTTTCTCTTGCTGACATCGCAGGACTGAATTGTTTATGAAACTGTGGTCGAAGTACCTCACTGGTATCCAAACACAGAAATGGCTCCCGCAGTCCCTGACCACCTCTCTGCTGGTCCAGATTCTTCGATTCCTCAAACCAGATGTCACTTTCCTGTAACTCTCCTGCTCAAAACCAGGATCTTTTTTTGCCACTTCCACATGTTTCCAGCATTGTGACTGAAAAAAACAAAGTGTGTTGAAATAGAACAGTGCTGGTTTCCAAGTGCAATGCTAACGCTGGAAAAAGTTTAAATTTCAGGGCTTAGAAACCTTTTTGGTTCAAATTGGACAGAATTGTAGGAGGTTTTAATTTTCCAGGATACATGCTCCTGTGACCTTGCTTTCAGCAAATGGGCGACCGGCCAACATGTGGTAGTTCTCACTGGTTGCCTGGTTTAAATGTTTTTGTTGCCATCATTTTTGTGTCCCTGCCTGACCTTTCTTTTTGGTTTTGTTTTTGGTTTGTTTTTTTTTTTTTTTTTAAAAGGTTAGCAAACTTAGAATAGTTGTATCAGGAGGATGGCAAAAATATCTTTTGGCCTGTAATCATAGTTCATCACAGGATGCAATCATTCACTCGACATACATACACTCAATCGTGTTCATAATTATATGGTAAATAGTTCACAAAAGGGAATGGTTTTGCCACTTAATGGCAGCTTTTTAGATGCTTATAAGGAAATGAAAGGGAGAATACACCAGGATTACTTCTATTAAACATTTAAGTCTTCTCTTCTTGACAATCATAATAAAGCTTCCTACTTCTGATGCTTGTCAGATGAGAATTTCAAAGAGCTTTATGGACATGGATGAAGTAAGGCATTGAAGAATTCGTCCCTTCAGTGAGATGGAAAACTGTTATCCCTATTCTGCCGAAGGGAAATGCAAGCCACGGTAATGTGAGGAAGATTTTCCAAAGCCTCACAGCAGCGAATGAAACCTAGATCCTGAATAGACATTAACCTTGGACATACTAAAAAAAAGTATTGGCTGTACATTCTTTCTTCTTTCTCCTTCTCCAGGCTTTCTTTGTGGACCACAATTCCCGCACTACCACGTTCATTGACCCCCGGCTCCCCTTGCAGAGTAGCAGGCCCACTAGCGCGTTAGTCCATCGGCAGCACTTAACTAGACAACGCAGCCACAGTGCGGGTGAGGTAAGTTGGATCTGCCCTTTCTCTTCGGGAACCACTGGGTTTTTAGGATCTTCCTCTTTCACATCGTTCTGTTCACAATTCCATGTCGTGAGGAGCATGATTCTTCTGTAAGCGTATGGTACCCATCCGTAAATATTTATTGTTTTATTTGCTAGCCATTGTTGCTTTTGAAATGTAGGATTTCAGAGGAAGAATATCAGACATGAGTTTCTCTTACTTTTAATTCGCAGTAACCCCATTTAACCACAGGAGAGCATCTGATTACAGATTGCCGGTTTCTGTATCTTGTCTTTCGCTGTCAAAATATGCATTGTTGTCTAGCATGGTGTCTGCCAAGTATGTTGATATAACTCCACAAATAAGAAGGGGGGGAAAAAAAGTGCATGTGTATATATACATCGGGATGTGCAACTTTCCGAATAAGTATAAAAAAATCTTACCACATGTAGGCTTATCAGACTATTATGTGCATTTGCATATGTATTTTGTCTCTACTTTCTAAACAGAAATACAAGGAAAATACTATTTTCTTGATATGTCACTGTGGACCATTTTCACCAGCAGTCTCCATATTGTTGTTGTAACTCCTTTTTACTTGTGAGCAAATGTATATACAATGACTTAGACTTCAGTTGTACTTTATTTAACCTCCATACTGTTGGCTGTAAGTTGTGTTTTCAGAGGAGGGCTATTCCATGCCAGGAAATAAAGATAAAACTATTTAGAATGGCAAGAGAAATGCTCTGATTTATCCTTTTTATAGCTCAGTCTTTTGGCAGATGAAGTTCTGCCAGAGGTCTGTTTCAGAGCAGACATGAATCTTCTCTGCCACTTCTCTAACAGGGCTTCCACTGAGCTGCGGTGAGTGTCATACCACTGGCTGCATATCTTGTCATATCCTGTGTCAACAAGGTTTAGTCACCTATGATATTTTCCACCCCTCACCCCCAATGTAACGTATATTTTACAAATGGTTTTAAATAGCATTTTCTGTCAATTTGGTGATGTGATGTGATGTAGGCAATGATGTCTTCCAGCAGGCAAGGAAGCTAGAAGTGTCTTCGTATAGCTATTTAGATCTTTGATAGGATAAAGCAAGTATTTCTGTTGCAATTGATTTATAACAGAGCAGAAATAATTTTTTTTTCTTAACGTCAACAAATATGCACTGAAATTATCTTTATTTAAGCAGCGTGTGGAAGCTCTGCAGTTAAAACATAGAGATTCATGTCAACCATGCTGCTGAAGTTGTTAAAACTGCAAAATAGGTGTAGTTTATCCTACAGGAAATAATCATATATATTGCGTATACACAGTGCTGATTACCTGTCAAAATTTCCCACTCCATCGAGATACATGAAATTCCTTAAACCATGTTTCTACATGTAATTTTAGAAGTATTTCCTTGATACTGTTACAATTGTAACAAATTGAATAGAAGTGTGATTCCGGATAGGAATCTCAAACATAGCAATTCAGTACAGTATTCCCATTCTGGGATTAATCATGTAATGATGTTCACTTGTATGCATATGTATGAATGTGAACACCACTTTTTCTTCTGTGCTTATCACTTAAGTATTGCATATTTGCAGCTGGTTTTCCCATTTTTAAACCATTGCATCAAGGAACTGTACATTATTGCAAAAGATGAATACTTAATGAAAAAAATTCTCAAAATTCTTTCTTTGGATTTGCCTTGCCACGAACTTTGATGTTTTGAAGCCACTGACCCAGTTTTTACAGGGAGATGCTCTGAAGCAAACATTACCCAGTGTAAGGAATGCCTTTTTAGCTAAAGCTGAACTGCAGCGTGAAGCTGGAGCCAATAATAATGGCATTCCTTTTCCAGCACAGTGCCTATAGGAAATAATTTTTCATTTTCTGGAGAGAGTATTATCAGAGGGCACAAAGATCTTGGGAGATATCTCAGGACTTTTGCTTCTTCATGATTTCAGCAACTGGATTTAAAAACAACCTTTATAATTATTTGATCTTTTGCAGTTAGATGTTTTAGAGATCTTTGAAGCTTGGAAGTGTAGTTCAAATGGTAACCGTTATATGTAGGCAGAGGAACTTGAGAAGTAAACATAAAGGTCCAGCGGGATGAAAAAGAGGTTGAACAAAATGTTTTATATAGCTAAAATACAAAATACTGACACTAGAAATGACTGAAGCCTCGTCACACAGAAGACTGCAGAAGTTGCTCTGACATCACAAATGCTACCAGGAACAATTTTACATTGTGGTTCTACCCTAAAAAATGTTCACATGCAACATTTTTTAATCCCAGAAGGTGAACACAAAAAAATCAAAACAGTTTTACTGAATGATTGTAGGAAACATATTTTTACCAGTTCTGGACTTATTTGCCTTGCATGAATGTGAACTCGCTTCTTTATCTTCCTGCTTCAGCCACAGACTTGTTTCCAGTTCAAATTTAGGGAAACTGCATTCATGCACAGAGGTAATAGAGGTGCTAATGGAGGAGCAGAATTTGATTTTCAGAACCTTTGATATGGATAAAGATGTCCATGAAGTACAAAAGACCCTCCGAAGGAATCCCAGTTTGAATTTTTTAGACCCTTTTCAGAATGGGACTATTATTTAAAAATAGCAGTAAACTTTCAATCAGTTTTGATTCTTCATGTTAATAGGCACATTATACTAAATAATGTTTTACTAATAACTGTCATACAACACAGCTGAT